TTCGATATTTTTCTTTATCTTATTATCGGGTTCTATATCTTTATATTATCTATATATTCCTATAACAAATGATTCCCTAAGTATAATAACTATATTTTTGTAATATAGAAAGAAGATTATATATTATTTAAGTTTGTTTGAATATTTCTAATATCAAAATCAATTATAATATTATTATATAATAATCAAAGAAACAGATTTCTCTAATTTCAATTCAAATAATTGATTTAGTAATAACTATATAATTCTCCTTATTCTAACTAAAACCAGATGTCTTCTTTATAAATTATTTAATTTTTTTAAAATCAATTTTTACATATCCCTATTTGGATTCGATAACTCTATTGTATTTCTTATTAGGATTTTCAAAGGATTGAATAATAATAATCTAAACAAAAGCTTTAAAACTATTATCAAAGGTATTACTATCTAATTTAGCAGTTTTGAGTTAAGCTATAAGAAAAGCAATCTTTTCAGAAATCCATTTCGTATTAGAAATACAAGAAACTCTAATAAAGATAAATATTGTTTTGATAACGGATTTGTATAATATAATTATAGAATAATTATTGATATTATAATATAGATTTGTAATTCAATCAGAAAGGATTTATATATTATTATATAGTATATAGTATATATATAAAAAATGTTATATGAACCAAACAAAGGCTTGTATTTTAAAAAAGTAATATTTTTAGAAATGGGAACCTATGTGCATACTCCATTTTTGATAAATGCGAAAACTCACACTACCGAGCCAAACAAGGCCTAATACACTTTCATTGGTCATTGGAGGAGGTTAAGGGTAATTAAGTTGGTTGTTCTCTTCCAAGGCAAGGTTGGTTGATCAAGTTCGGCTTCCGTAATGCCTTTCTCTCCGAGAACAGAGTATTTCTCTTTGACTTCACGATAACATTTATGACTTATAGAATAAGTACGCGATAGATTAAATAGATAAATTTGAATTGTCATGATCAAAATGTAATAGAAAATTACATCAAAAACGCGTTATAATATCTTCTTTACCTCCTTTTTCTATTACTGTATAATTGGTTCAATAGATTCAATTAGTGTAAGGATAGACCCCCCCCCCCGATTCCGTTACACTTTACTTTATGTTCTATGGGTCACCGTAGAAGTCAATTTGCTATAAAGGCAACCTGTCCCTTCCTCTTTTAATTTTGAACTTTTCGCAGGCCTTACTTATTTCGGTTGTCTGTATTCCATCCATCCTCTTCACCATTTCAACCACAACCCACTTCATCAACTCAATCCACATCAAACACTTGAAATAACTTCATTTGTTAAACCTCTACCCCTCCTACCTCTTCAAGTCACGAAAATACATACATTCCTTTGATAAAGAACTGAATTGCATCCGTTGCGACTTTCGAGTTTATCGTCGACCCTTACGTGGCGACAAATCTTAAGAAATTCAACAAGAGAACCCTTTTAAATAAGGCAAGGGCAAGGGCATCTTGAGTGGTTTTTAAAAGAAGAACTTCGACTTTCGATCAATATCAAGATCGTCAAGTCACTGAAGTCACTCGAAAGACATCATCGTCGAGCAGCAACTGTAGGGGAGACATTGAATTGTTTATCTCCCATAAACGGTACGGCTTTCATTTTACCTCGACACTTATAAACAAACCTTTCGTACTTTCTTACCTCATCGACGGTTACCTTCGAGTTGCGCTTTCAATCAAAGATACGCTATCTCGAGCGCGTCCGCCGTATCCTATTCACTCTCAGACCTTCGGATCTTTCTCAACAAAAAAAACCCATATTTAATTCTTATCGCGTTCCGATTGTGATCTAACATCTTCCTTTCTACAATTAGATCTGTTCTTCATCCACAAACAACACTTTTAATAAATATCATCGACGTCAACATGGAGTCCATTCAGACACATCCATCCAGCGCCGTCGAGGCTAAAAAGTTCATCGCACCTGGCTCACTTTCCTTCCCTGGCGGCGCTGCCGACGTCACCCCACCTTCTAATACTGAGGCTGCGGCTGGTAAGCAGACCATGTCTGTCGCTCCTGTTACAACTTCACCACCTGCGACTCCTGCTACGACCCCTGCTGCCACCCAAGGTGTCAGCGGAATTGTCCCTACGCTACAGTATGTATAACCCCTTGTGCCTCATTATCTTTTCTCATGAGGCTTATCGTCCATGTAAAGAAATATCGTTGCCACAGTCAACTTGGACTGTCGTCTTGACTTGAAGACCATCGCACTACATGCAAGAAATGCGGAGTACAATCCAAAGGTGACTACTGATTCTAGGCTTGCTATCTAATCTTTCGTCTTGCTAACCTACCCAGCGTTTCGCTGCGGTTATTATGCGTATTCGCGATCCTAAGACTACCGCTCTGATCTTTGCATCCGGTAAAATGGTTGTTACTGGTGCAAAGTCCGAAGACGATTCGAAGTTGGCGTCCCGCAAATATGCTCGTATCATTCAGAAGCTTGGTTTCAACGCAAAGTTCACCGATTTCAAGATCCAGAACATTGTCGGTTCTTGCGATATCAAGTTCCCCATTCGTTTGGAAGGACTTGCTTCGCGCCACATGAATTTCAGTTCTTACGAGCCTGAATTGTTCCCTGGTCTCATTTACAGAATGATGAAGCCGAAGATTGTTCTTTTGATTTTCGTCAGTGGAAAGATTGTCTTGACAGGAGCTAAAGTTCGTGAAGAAATTTACCAAGCTTTCGAGATGATCTACCCTGTGCTTCAAGGTAAATTACTTGATCTTTACACACTATACTATATCCACTAACACCTCGCCAAGATTTCAAGAAAGTCTGATTCAGATCCAGATGTACCACTATTCCCATACATTGTACAACATTATTTCACGATTTTACGAACATTCACATGCATTGTAGGCGTTTCAAGGGGGAAAAAGAGTCACAGAAGGAACTCATATATTGGTGCTTTTCAACATGTTTTGCGCGTTACTGTTCCTCATGAACCGCAAAACATGCATCGCGTTTAACGGATGGCATTGGGGCGCTGGTCCTCTCATGCCGTCACTAATTGCTTCTTCCTTTCGATAGAGCAAGTATTACACATAGGTAATAAGAGACAACATTAGTCTATACTGTGCATATATTTATGTGACGTTTCCTACGTGATACAATCGGAACAAGGTGTGAGAGGATTCAAAAGTCCAAGCGAGTTACCTTGATGAAAATTTGCTCAACGCATATATGACATACACCATAATCTTTTGCGATATTCTCAACAGCATCTACCTATACCATTTTCCATTTTACCTTGTCTCCAAGCCGAAAGTGATATATACCATGTAGCTTCTCGATAAACAAGCAACACATGTGAAAGAGAATACACACCTTCAACCCCCACCCCTCTTTCCATTCCTCCCTCCTTGACCACCTAAAGTTTCTCCCCCCTCTTCCCCGCCCTGCTCCCATCATCCGTCATACCATCCCACTCCCCCGTAACCTTCCAACCCCACTTCTTACCCCAAACCTCATCTTTCCCCTCCATCACATCCACAATCTTCTCCCCAAGAATCGGTAGGAATTTAAATCCATGCCCACTCCCACCAGTTGCCAAGAATACACCTTTAAGACCGAGGCCCCCGCTAGATTGAGGTTTGTCGCAGTAGGTGATGAGGAATTCGCCAGTGGGCGTGTCGGTGTACCAGCAGACTCGGGTGTGGGAGAAAGGACGAGGTGGGAGATCGGGGAGGATTGTTTGCAGGGCGGTGGCGGCTTCGATTTGGAAGGATGTTGGGACGGCGTTAGTGGAGTGGTCGTAGATTGTGCGGGGAAGGGAGATGCTGATGATTTCGCCGGAGGAGGAGGGGTGGGGGTGAGGGATACTGGTTGGGTTGGAGTATCCGTGGGCGTGGCGTGCTATTTTTAGAACGTTATTTCGTGGGGGAATGATGAAGTAGCCGCTGCTCATGTTGAGAAGGACGGGGTTGTCTTTGTATTTTTCTTGTTCTTCGTCTGTGATGTCAATGTACAAAAGGCATTGCCCGCTAGAGTGGACTTGAGAACGGAGGTCGAGGAATTTTGCACTCCAAGCTCCCACTGCGAGGATTGTGAGGTCGGCGAAGTATTGGGTGCCGGGTGCGGTGTTGGCCCCGAGGATGGTGCTTTCGTCGGGGGAGAATATGAGGGATGTTGCTTCCGAGACGATAAATTGAACACGTCCCTCAGCAAAATTTTCAACTTCTTTTCGTAGCCAAACTAAGGTGGCTTCTGCATCAGCCCATCCTGATCGTCGGTTTATGTATCCCCATTCTCCACTTCCCGGACCCGTTCTAAAAAGATTTTGTATAGCCTCCTTTGAAGGCAACTCTTGAATTCCGTCTGCATCTCCGTCTTGTTTCATCAATTGCTGGATATTTGAAAGACTTCCTCGTACGTATCTTTGCCCGCTGTTCTCATATGAGGTGTCACAAGTTAAGCACAACCCGCTTTCAGTGTATCGGCCTTGGCCACCAATTTCATTTTCGTCGGTTTGGCGCCATTGCTTCTGAGCGGAGGCTGCAAGTTCGGCATAGAGGGGGTCAGAGTAGTCGGCGCGGATGATTCGGGAGGAGTCGACGGAGGAGGCGTCCCTGGCAGGAAATGGAGAGCGATCAAGGAGGGTGATGGTTGTGTTTTTGTAGGCAGGTCGCTTCAGGAGAGTGAGAGCGGTACTTAGAGAAAACAAACCTGTGCCGATTATGAGAATCGACGAAGGAGGGGTATAAGCTGTCATGATGAAGAGTAGTGGGGCTGGGTGAGTTTTCGTAGAAGGTGAAATGGCGGGACGAGGAAATGATAGGAGATTATAAGGGAAGAGTAACTCAGGGTCTGGGGAGCATATTAAGATATGTGAGAAAGTTAATAAGTATATGGAAGAGGAGAAGGAGAGGAGGAGAAGTCTATAACTTCTCCCAAGAGGTAGTGTTTTATAGTGGGGGTATGAGAACTCTGGAACCTTGAAGAGCTTTTTGGAACTGCATGAAATCGTGAATCGTAAGAGATAATGAATGACAAAACGGAATCAGAAACTCGCGCGATCAACACCCAATTAATCACTATCTAGGCGTGTTTCAGTGGAGGATGGGTATACAACTGGGAGATCCTGACTCTGGATCTAGTAAGATGATTCATATTCACAAATAAATAAATAAAAAGAGTCTATTTGACGATTAGTGTCCGTTGTACGTGGTAAGTTCGGATGTGGGTTAATGAGATGCAAGTGTTGAGACCAAATACCAATGATTATCGGCAAATCAAGAACAAGCTGACCCTTAGTAAGCTTAAGCTTAAACAATATCCCAGTCTTGTCGCAACTTATATTCGCGCCTTGACAACAACATCACTCAGCAGATTTCCCTTAAATCCCCAATTCCTAGGATATACGTCAATGCAGTCGCACATGGAATCGAAAAGTAGTTTTGCAAAATGAGTTCCAAAAAAATTGTCCAGTTTCCGGATGTTTCGAATAAGCTACAAGCTCCTACCAAGAAATCATTATTCGAGAGGCAGAAAGCAGATGCGGAAGCCAAGAGATTAAGGGAAGAGGCAGAAACGAAGGCTGTATATGAGGATTTTGTGAAGAGTTTCGATGATGAAGATGATGCGCCTGCAGCTGGGGTTGGTGGAATGGGAGGGATAGGTGGCATGGTAGGAAATAGACACTTTGGCAGAGGTGGTATGGGTAGCGGAATGGGAAGAGGGGGATTTGGAGAAAGTCGAGGAGGGTTTGCACCACGAGGGGGATCAGCGGTGGGTAGTGGCCCGGGAAGCTTAGGACCTTTACCAGGGAATATGAGTAGCAATGCTTTACCAAAGAAAAGAACATACGAAGGATTCGCACAAAACTCCTCGCGAAAAGACGACAGAGGATTACTTGCATTCGACGACTACAGTCATGATGGGCCTGCAACGAAAGCCCTCAAGACATTCGGTCACGAAGAAGAGAACATGGAATCCAGCAGAGTTGAAGAGAGAGCTGTCGCCAAACCCACCTTACGATTGGCATCTCTACCCCCTGGAACCTCGCCTGCCGTCATCAAAGCTTTACTTCCCACTAATTTGACAGTCGATGCTGTCAGGATTATACCACCTTCTGGGCCGGCGTCATTTTCGGAAAGGAAATATATGTCAGCCATTGTCACATTGGCCAAAGACACACCTGCGAACGACATTGACACGGCTGTTAATGTGTTACAAAACAAATACTTGGGTTATGGATATTATTTGAATTTGCATAGATATTTGTCGTCAGCAGCTATTTCGAGTTCTGCACAGGTCTCTAATATTGGGGGTGCTATGACCTCACAGCCTTTTGGTGCGAAACCAGTCAATCCACCAGCAGCTCGCGGAGGTCCGCCACCTCATAGAGGAGGGTTTGCACCTCCAACATCCTATAACAATACACCTCAACTCAGCCGATCCACCCTTTTCGTTCCTGTTCAGCCGCCACAGGATATCAAGGAATTGAAACTCATACATAAAACAATCGAATCACTCCTCACACATGGACCTGAATTTGAAGCACTCCTTATGTCACGCGCTTCAGTTCAGCGAGAAGAAAAGTGGGCATGGTTATGGGATTCAAGGAGCACAGGTGGTGTTTGGTATCGATGGCGACTATGGGAAGTGTTGACTGGTTCGCAATCTAAAAGAGGGCAAGGAAAATATCTTCCATTATTCGAAGGCTCTTCGGCATGGAAGCAACCCGATCAACCCTTGGCATACGAATACACCACCCGCCTAGATGAATTCGTTTCGGAATCTGAATACAATTCCTCGGATGAAGATGATTCTGGCGACGAAGGCGCTCGACGTCCTCCCATTGATCCCGTTACATTAAACGAAGATGGAAAAGCATATCTAAACCCTCTCGAAAAGGCTAAACTCACACACCTTCTATCCCGGTTACCTACTAGCACAGGCAGACTACGAAAAGGCGACGTAGCACGGGTCACCGCATTTGCAATCTCTCATGCAGGTCGAGGCGCCGATGAAGTTGTGTCTACAATCGTGTCCAATGTCGAGAAGCCCTTCGCCTACACATCCGCAAACCCGGATCGCAAAAAAGAAAAAGAGAAAGACACTAGCGGTGACGATAACGAAGATAGTGCCGAGGAAGAAGATACTAGTTCTGCGTCGCTCATTGGGTTATATATCATATCTGATATTCTATCAAGTAGTTCTACGAGTGGTGTTAGACATGCATGGCGCTATCGACAATTTTTTGAGCAGGAAATGAGGAGGAGGAAGACGTTTGAGGGGCTTGGGAGAATGGAACGAAAGATGAAATGGGGGAGGCTGAGAGCAGAGAAGTGGAAGCGAAGTGTAGGGAATGTGTTGGGCTTGTGGGAAGGTTGGTGTGTATTCCCACAGCAAAGCCAAGACGAGTTCGGAAAAGTATTTAAAGAACCACCTTTATCGGTTGAGGAATTAAAGGAGCTAGGGGAAAAAGCCAAGGAAGAGAAGAACAAAGAGAAGAGTAAATGGAAGGCTGTTGAGGTAGCGCCGAAGGAGAAAATTCAGGAGGAACATAATGATGATGAGGATGAGGATTTGGATGACGAACCGATGGTGGAAGATGATGAGGATGTAGACGGTGTGCCAATGGAGGAGGAGGAGGAGGGAGAGGAAGATATGGATGGAGAACCAATGGCTGACGATGAACCGATGGCGGATAGTGATGCTGGAGTCAATCTGTATGGAGAGCCCATGCAAGTACAAGAGGACGAGGGGGATTCTTATGAACCTCCTGCAGCAGTGGAAACGTCACAGGCACCGGCAACAATAATAGAAGAGTCCGCCCCGTCAAGAAGAGCAAGACCGAAAGCAGTGGATATGTTTGCGGATTCGGACGATGAGGATTAGGCGGTAAAGGTGGTTTTAGCAGTGCAGATAGATGTTTGAGACGATCGGAGGCAACTTTACATAAATATCATGATTCCAAGTTTTCTCTTCACTATCCTTTGCTTTTTCTCATAACTTGCTCAGCTACGCATTTGTTTGGTTTTCCTATCTGAGAACCTTTAAATTTAATCTTTTCTTATGACCACCCCTCTTCACTGTTTAATATCTTTATCCTTCGCTCCCTCCATTAACCCCCTTTTACTCATCGTTTTATCCATCACTATCACCATCACCACCACCATCACCTCATCTCATCTCCTTTCGATAAAATGATTTTTCTTTGGTTGGCGACCAGCCGAAACTGCCTTTTCCGGCATAGCGGCTGACTAAGCTGCTGTGAGATATCTATCTAGGTTGATCTCGCACTTCGTGCTCTTACAATTTAATTCTTTAATTCTTTTAATTTATCTATTGTTCTATTGTTCTATACTTCCATATTGGTTCTAAAATATCTCTTCCCGGCTTCTTTATTAGATACCGGTACTACACTCGCAATTTACTCTTTTCAGCCACTAAAAGCCCTATCGAGGCCAGGGTCTCTTCGCCGAGAATGACAAATATCGGTATGTCAGCTGCAAACTCCCGGGCGAACCAACTTCGCAGTTCAATGGCCTGTAAAGAGTCGACGCCAAAGGTTTGAATGCGCTCGTCCAGATGTTTGACGTCCATGCGATCTCGTAGTCCTGGTGTCATGGTTGCTAAGCGTTCTAGCAGCGCCTGGGAGACGATAACGCCAGCATCGGAAGGTGATTTTGCGGACACGAAATCCTGTCTTCGCCGGGCTTCGAGGAATTTATCTCCGCTGGCCTCTTGGTCGGGCTCGGCAGCACCGGCAAAGATGTGTCGATAGAAGGGGAGCGAGAGGTGCGAGCTGTGGGCTTGCAGGCTTGCGGCCCTGAACTCAGACGCAGGGGCCAGTCCGATGGCCACTTGTGCCGTGTGCAGGCTTGAAATGGGACTTGTAGGGTCGCAATAGTGATCAAGTATGGCGAGCAGCTCCGAAGAGGAGATGCCTCGGAGGAGTCCTGCCGAAAGTATCCGATTACGTAGTGCGTCGTTCGTGGCCAGGAACCCATGGTCCAACATCACTCCCAAATCCAAGGCTACTGCTCGCTCGCCAAGAGCATTACGGTAATGCGCCAGGGCGTCCATGTATGTGTTTCCGGCCGCGTAGTTGGCCTGACCAGCGGAACCTACAATCCCAGAAATGGACGAGATTAAGATGAAGAAATTAAGACCTCCAGGCAGAACAGTGTGGAGATTCCAGGAGCCGCGAACCTTTGGATTCGTACTTGCTACCCAGTCCTCATGAGACATATTCGTAAAGACGGTGTCCTGAATTTCGTCAGAATTACAATTTCTATCGTTGCAGACAATTCAAGCAGGGTATCTGGGAGTTTACGACAAACCTTTAACACCATCGAGGACTGGACACAACCAGCAATCGTGGGCATGGAGCCTCGACATCTTTCAAGGACGTTACGTAGCGCATCGATATCACTGATGTCGCATTCTGGTGCCTCGATGACAGCTCCGAGTTCACGAAGGTTGCTGACCGTATTCACGGCTTCGATGGCGCTTTGCTTTATACCAGACCGTGACAATAGAAGTAGGTACCGGGCACCCTTTTGCTTTACCATCCATTCCGCAATCATCAGACCGAGGCCGCCGGTCCCACCGGCAATGACATATGTTTTGTTACTATCGAGTTGCCAGGCCGACTGTGATCGGACTCGGACCTATTTCCAAGTCGCTGTCAGCGTGAAGGGTAACATTAAAAATTGAAACCAAAAGGAATGCTTACCGGCACTAGTGCATCATCGGCCATGTCGAATACTATCTTCCCGATACTCTGTCCAGATTGAAGGGCGCGCATCCCTTCTTTGATATGCGATATCGGTAACACCTGAAAGTTCTCCACAGGATGCAATCTCTCTTTGACGAATATGCTCAACACGTGCTCGATGTTCTCCTTACCCAAGATTCCAAAATCAGCCGCCGTAGCCCCGATCTCTAATGCGGTGAATGTGGCGCGGCGGAGAAAAGGTCGCATAGGAAGCCCATTATTGGCGGCAATATCTTTCTTTCCCAATTCGATGAACCGGCCGTGTGGGGCGATGATATCCCATGAAGCAAGCAGCATATCTCCAGATAAGGAGTTAATAATAACATCAATGCCACGGCCAGCGGTTAGCCGAAGAATTCCTCGCGCAAAAGTCGTGTTGCGACTGTAGAAAATATGATCCTCGGAAATGCCATAATGGTTGATGAGAAACCTCTTCTTCTCCTCTGCACCAACCGTGGCAAAGACCTCGCAACCCAGCAACTGCGCTATCTGTAAAGCCGCTTGTCCAGTCCCCCCCGCAGCCGAATGAATCAGTATACTCTCACCATTCTGCATTCTGGCAGCGGTATGGATGGCGTACCAAGCAGTGACGAATTGGGTCGGCACGGCAGCAGCATGCGAAAGAGAAACCTCATCGGGGACTCTTGCCACATACTCGGCTTTCACCCTGGTGTATGTAGAGAATGCTGTTGGGGAGAAGACGCAGACTCTGTCGCCGATTTTGAAAGGTGTGTCGCCTCCTGTTCGGTGTATGACTCCCGCACACTCATTTCCGAACGTAGTCCCATTCTCTCTCCCTAGCGCGAGGAGTAGGTCTTTGAAATTCAAGCCTACAGCAATAACTCGGATCTCGACCCAGCCGGGAGACAGAGGTTCTTCAGCCAACACATCTTGATCAAAATATAGACTGTCAAGGAGGCCGGGAGTTTCGACTGCCAATCTGAGAGGCGGCGCCTCGCCAAATGGAAGGACCTTGGACTGGTACGTTGATGATTTGTTGAACACGGTTCGAGAGAGGTTCGCCATCGGTCTTAGACGTCCAATGTGGATGCCACCATCGACTTGAAGATATGACGCCTCGTATTCTTGGTTCGTCGTCCCAAAGTCCGTGGCGTGGACCAGGGTAAAGATTTGCTCAGCTTGATCAGGGATGGGTGAATGTGTGAGCACAGCAGTTACGATGACTGCTTGTCCATTTTCGGAGCGAAGGACTCGTGTCAAACCGTCGGCCATAGCACGGTCAGGTTGCAGTAGCCCGTCTTCATCTCGGCGGGTCAACCAGAGAAGGCCCTTCGTCGAGACGAGAGCATCACGCAGCCTCGAAAACTCAGCCGGGGAGGGGTTTTGAAGTAGAGAACGCTCCAACTCGGGGAAAAGTATAAGGGTTTGTTGAGAATCCTCCTCGGTTTTGGTGAGCTGGTCGAGATAACATATCGTGCACGTTAGAGCGACGCCATCGAATTTACTTCTCAGTACCCTTGCCATCTCCTCCTGGAATGGGGTTGCCTCGATCACCAGAACATAGTTCATTAACGTCTTTGGTACGATGGCGTTGCGGGGCTTTGACGCAGTGACCAGTTTCGCCGCATCCATCGTGCTGGTGGTAGAACACAATATATTGGTGAAGCCGGCATTTTCAAGAGCCCCTTTATATTCTACGTCGGAAGTCTCCGATCTCCTGAGGCTATACGAGTTCTCGCTCATCGGGCCACGCTGAAAACCTACGTCGTTGTTTGTGTGATACCCGTTGACCTCTGTGTGTTCAATTCGCGGGTTGTTTTCCAAAAGCAGGGCAAGCTTTCCACCTCTGCAGACGTCAGGAATATGGAGTTAGTAATAGGCAGGATTCACTCACGGTTTTAGAAATCGATGAGTTTTGTCAAGTGTATCTAGCATGGATCTCTAGTAAAATGTTAAGACTTCCCCAACGTGCTTGCATGATGTCGCGGGTTTTGGGATTTACTCACACACGAGCCGACAACAAGATCATACGTATCGGTGTCGGTGGACTGGAGCGTTGAAGACCTAGAGACCAACTCTGAGCAGGGCAAAACGGGATCGGTCCCTCCCTGCTGGCAGTGAAAAAGCTCCTCGACAATTGTCCCGTTTCCAACATCTACCTCGGGACCGGTCACGTGCAAAATTTTCATGTCCGGCTTTTTGAAGGTCAAGAGATCCAAAAAGTTTACAAGGAGAGTCTGGGCTCCTGGCAAAATGTCCTTGTAATCCACCGCCTGCGTCTGGGTATCTGTGGTTGGGGGGTGCGCATTGCTTTTCAGTAGATCTATGTCGGGTTTCCACTCAATACTGTAACACAGATGAGGATGTCGCGCCTGATCCTGAGCAGGCGCAACCCCGGTTACGAATCGTAGCTTGATGCCCTTCGCCTCGAGTACAACTCTCGAAGATGAACTGTCAAGCGCAATAACAGAGGTTTCATACCCAACGTTACCATGGTTGTTGAAAGTCCCTACCGATCTGACCATATCTGCGTATTGATAGCAAAGACCGTCTCTTGATACCCAGATGTATTCAATCTCGGCAAAAATGGCGGTCGATCCAACATTCTCCCCGGCGCGGTTGAATGCTGCAAGACTCACTTGGAGGATGCCGTCCAGAGTGACTGGATGCACGACATGTTCCTGAAAGTGGTCCCTACCGTCAGTATCCTTCCACTCAAAACAATTGATACTGGCTGTGGCCCGGCGACTGAACCGATCACTATATGCAACGTCATCCATGGCCCTAAAGAGAGGCCCGAAAGTGTAGCCTGATTTGAACGCCGAGTCGTAAAATTCGTCCTTGGTCCGCCTGAAGACTGCGGATTCTCTTACAGCGCTGTAAGCGGCTTGCGCGCCTTTCAGTCTTTCCAGGTCTTCGTGACCCTCGAGATCGTTTGGGCGTCTCGCGTAGTCTATATGGATCGTGCCGTGGCTATGCTCTTGCCATTGCGTGCCGTCGTGAGAAAACAATCGAAACTTCCACGATGCAGTGTTTCTGTCCGAACTCCCAGGAGGCGGGCTGAAGACCAGCTGGGTTTCGATTCCCTGTGCACTGGCGGGAATGGTTAGGGCTACCATGAAGTAGGTGTCGGTGAGCTTGAATCCCTTGATCAGGCGGGCTGGGTCAGCCAGTTGCTTCGCGGCTTCAATGGCCATGACCAGCACACCCACCGCCAGGTAGATAATCGTGTCATTTATCTGATGGCAAGTATTAGCGAGGACCCCTGTTCAGGGTTTCATCGTTGCATACCTTATGATCCTCGACCCAGGGAAGTTCGGAGAGTTTCAAAAGTTCCTCCATCGGGGTTGTAGAGGATTCCAGTCCACCACAGGTTTGCCGAGAAGGTCGAGCTTGGCGTGTTTACGAAATCGAAAAGATTTACCCAGTCGTCCGGTCGGAAGATAGGTACACGAGTGATCGAAAGGGTATTCGGGGAGATTTTCGACCATTCTATTAGAGCGCCTCTGAATGTATAGCCCGATCAATTATTGAAGAATAATTTAATTAGGTTTGCAATAACCTCGTTCAACAACATCAATTTCAAGAAGTATGTGATTCTATTGCTAAGATCTTTAATCAAAATTTTGTTTCGAATCCTTTTTATATCTGATCAATGGTAAAAAATCTCGAATCTTTCAAAAATGAAAAATCAAACCCATTTGTATAACAAAAGAAATATCTCTCTTGGAAGTTTGGCCTTTAATTTTGCTAGGAATATAATACAGTTTGCTTTGATACAAAAAAGAAAAAACTTGTTTATATAGTTATATTATTTGATAATATAATATGGCAAAAAAGACTCAAAAATATCCTTGTGATGCTAAATAATACTTTTTCTTATTTTATTATAAACTTTTTTTAGAAAAACTTGATGTACTTTATATTTCGATTAATCTAAAATGAGATACTATAATAAAATTCAGGAAATTAATTATAATAGAAAAGCAGTCCTTTGTTTTGTTCTTTATAACTTTAAAGAAGTTTGGTTTTATAATAAAATTATTAGATATAATAATAATGATATTCTTGAAGGAAAAAGTCACTTTGGAATTAAGAAACTTATTAACACTGGATATTACATCTTATATAAAAGATAATCTTCTCAAATAAAAAAATTAATTTCTGTTTTAGAATCAGAACCTTCGGGAAAATTCATATAACCTTAGTTCTAATTCGAATAATCTTCATTCTATTCTTCATAATACTCTTCACATTATTCTCTAGCCTTACATTGTTATAACCTCTACCCCTCCAATTAATAATCTGATAGACCTCGATGCTTTCAAGGCCCTCAACAAAGAACAACAAAAACAAAGGAATATTGTTGTGACCTATACCATTTCTGTAAATAATCTGGATATCTGATTTAAAATTGCTCAGCAAAAAAGGCTGT